GAGGAACTAAAGAGCCTCTTGATGCGGGTGACGAAGGAGAGTGCAAAAGTTGGCTTGAAACTCAACATTAAGAAAACCAAAATCATGGCATCCGCCCTCTCAATTCCTGGCAAATAGATGGGGAAGAAATGGAGGTAGTGACAGATTTTATTTTTCTGGGCTCCAAGATCACCTCAGATGGGGACTGCAGCCAAGAAATTAAAAGACGCTTGCTCCTGGGGAGGAAAGCTATGGCTAATCTAGACAGCCCACTAAAAAGCAGAGATATCACCCTGCCAACAAAAGTGCATTTAGTCCAGGCCATGGTTTTCCTAGTTGCAATGTATGGCTGTGAAAGTTGGACCATAAGAAAGGCTGAGCGCCAAAGAATTGAGGCCTTTGAACTATGGTGCTGGAGAAGACTCCTGCGAGTCCCTTGGACTGCAAGGCGTTCAAACCGGTCAGTCCTAGAAGAGATCAACCCCGACTGCTCTTTAGAAGGCCAGATCCTGAAGTTGAAACTCAAATACTTTGGCCACCTAATGAGAAGGAAGGACTCACTGGAGAAGGGCCTAATGCTGGGAAAGATTGAGGGCAATAGAAGAAGGGGACGACAGAGAATGAGATGGCTGGATGGAGTCACTGAAGCAGTAGGTGTGAACTTAAATGGACTCCAGCAGATAGTAGAGGACAGGAAGACCTGGAGGAACATTGTCCATGGGGTCGCAATGGGTCGGACATGACTTCGCAATTAACAACAACAACATTGATAAAAATCACTATCAGCCAAATGCAAAACACAGCTTTACTTGGAACTGCAATGATACCTTTAATATTAATAAACAACATCTGCCTCTCCAGGCAACACAGTGGGGAGAGAAACAAACAAGGCACAAGACCAATTACATGGCACACCCTGCCATACATCAAAAACATTTCGGAAGCTGTAGAACGCAGCTTCCAAGACCTGCATGTAGGCACCGCACAAAGGCTACCATTTGAGGGCAAATTATGCATTATAAAGATCATTTGGAGGTGGGAGATACTTTCAATGTTACCTACCGGATCCCCTGTATGGATTGCCTCTGTGACTATGTAGGACAGATGGGGAGGAGGCTATCCACAGACTGCAAGAACACAAGTGAGCAGTCAGACAAGGAAACCCAAACTCATTGATAGCCTGACATTGCAATAAACAAGGACATACATTCAATTTATAGCTACTAAAATTGTTGGACGAGCAGGCACAAAAACAGCCAGGGTAGTGATTGAAGCCTGGGAAACAGGCTTCTACTCAATCAACAGGAGTGCTGATTTACTCCCAGCTTATCAAGTACTTAGAAGGGGGGGGGCATGGCAGCACAAGGAAACAATACTAACAACTTAATAGCCAGCCATCAACACCCCAATCTACATCTAAAAAGCTACAAACAGTCATATACAAGTATTCCCCCAGGTATGTGCGTTTATTTAGCGAGTTTTCACAAAAATGAATTAATTCAGAAAGGGTACTTACATTAGAAATTCAAAACTGACCAAAGAGGCCTCTGTAGCCATGTGACTTGATTTCAGTCTCTACTGCAGCAGTGGCCATTTTTATCTCTGACTTGCCTGGGCTGTTCGGAGCTACGAGAAGCTGGCAGTTTGTGGGGGGTTTTTTTTGTCCCTGGTCACATGGCCAAACAAGAGCTGAGCTGGCACCAGTTTTTCCTTTTGCTGCAATCTGCTACTGCCTGGGCTTGAGTGCTACAATTACTTCTGTAAATATTTTACAATATTTTTTTTGATACTTTATAGTTTGCAAACACAATAGTTTGCAAAGTACAGTGTAAGGACCCACCCCACTTTGCACGTCCACCGGCCCTGCAGTGTAGGCTGGAGTTCTTTCCCCCTGATGAGCAGAGGTGGGGGGTTCTGCAATTTCCATCATTCTCATGGCAGTTTCTTTTGGCTTAGCTGAAAACTTTTCGGATTTGCTGATTGGGGATCTGTCTGGGTTGTGCTGGGGGGTTTTGGAGCGGCATTCTACAGCTCGATGCCCTTCTCTTCCGCACTTGAAACACCCCATTTGCTTCTTGGCTGTAGCCAATGGTTTCACTGGTTCGTGTGTCAACTCAGGCGGGGAGCGGTTCCATTGTTTTCCTCGGCGGTGTCTCTTCAATATGTCGATCTCTGCTTCCTCTGCCAAGACGTACCATTCCTCAAGTTGGTGTGGGTCCCCTCGGGGCAGGCAAGCGTCATATAGGTCATAATTTAGTCCGTCTTTGAAATGGCTAAGGAGAATGTCTTCTGGCCAGTTCAGCTTGCCGGCAATGGCCCGGAATTCTTGTGTATATTCAGCCACCGGGCGTTTGCCTTGCCTCATCGTTTTTATCCTTTTGCGGGCTTTGCGATCAGTCTGAGTACGGTACCCAGCTTTCTCCCTCTTCACTTGCGTGCAGGGATTTCTCCATCTCCTGCTTCCATTCTGGTTGCTTGGCCCCCCAGTCTCAGGGTCACCTTTCTTGATTCCTTTCTCCACTCACTTTTCTTTCCAACGCCCGTTGACCAGCGAGGCTTGTGGTCCCGTGTCTCTACCACTTCTTCTCCTGAGAAATCTGACCTCTCGGATCCCAACATCCGGCAAGGTTCCAGTTGGGGCAGCGGCTCTCTTTCCAGGGAGTTTTCCCCCTTTCTTGCTCCATTGACATGGTAATTTTTTGCAAAATCCCCCGGCAAGGGTCTCCCTTCCAGGTGAATTAATTTTGCAAGTCCTGTCTAATGTAAGGACCCACCCCACTTTGCATCTTAAGAAGACAGAACTCTTGGAATAATTCTTCCAACAGGCATCCTTTATTAAGAGAAAATGGTTGCAGGCGTTCTAGACAGGACTTGGGGTCCAAGCTCTCCCATTCAAGGTTTTAAGGGGTTCCCCAGTAGCCCCACCCAATCACCCCCTTCTTCCAGCGACAGTCTCAGGCATTGCACTCCCACCCCCTTTTCCTTACTGCCGGCTAGATGGAGACTTCAGAGAAAACTACATGAAAGGTAATAGCCCCATTGTTATGGTGAGTCCTTTTGGTGATACACACATCCAGTTCCTTTGAAGTATACCAAAGGAAGTGAGGGCCATAAAGCCCCTTTGTTCACCCCCTTCCCTTCATCGTATGACAGAATCCATAGAAGGCAGAAATGGGGTTTACTATAATTGATAACTAGAGATGAAATATAATTGGATTCTGACATACAGTATTTAAAAAGCAGAGCAGTTCCCAAAGTGCTTTTAAACTGTTTGGGAACTGTTTTAAGTGCAAACTATTGTGTTTGCAAACTATTGAACTTTTATTATGGAAATTAGCATATATTACTGTAATTTGTAGGTTTTAAATTTAAATTGTCTCCAGAAGTTGTGGATGCCCCATCACTGGAAGCTTTTAAGAAGAAACTGGATAGGCATTTATCAGAAATACTCTCTTGTGAGACCAGTGGGTTAAACTAGCTGACCTCAAGGTCTTTTGCATCTGTTACTATTGCAAGCTGAGAGTTCTGCAAATCCCTCCCCCATCTCCCTCTGGGTGCCTGGCTGGCTCTTAAGCTAATGGTTTTTATTAAAGCAATGTGTGTGTGTGCTCGCACACACACACATGCTTGAGCTGAAGACATTTGAGCTGGTTAGCAGCAGTTGTTTTTTAAAAAATAATTATGATGGATTGCAAGCTATCCGTCAAGCAGGTCTGATGGGCCCAGTGCTTCCACTGATTTAACTTTACTCTTCAGTACCTGCCGGGGGGGGGGGGGGGGAACTTCCTGGCAGACACATTCTCTTGCCTGTCCCAGTACAAGAGCTTTAGGGAAGAGATAATTAACTCGATCATCCTCTCTGGGCAGCTAGCAGCGCAAGGCTCTAGGAGGCCAATTTTGCCAGCTCTCCCTCAGCCAGCCGATAGTGAGTTTGCCCAGAAATTGAAGGAAGCCCTGGAGGAGGATGAATGGTTGCAAGCCCTCCACCGGAAACAGCTGATCGGTGGCTGGTGGGAAATCCTCCCAGTTCAGTTAACAGGGCAGCTATCAGAGGAAATACTAAGACAGATCTTTGTTCATTTAACAACCCTTTGATTTAATTAATAAATTTGATTCGTACCTTGGGGACTACCTGTAAATACCATATAGAGAACAGCCCAGAGCACACAGAGAAGTTTCCTGAGGATGGACTCTAGCATGAGTCCAAAAGCTCGGAAGACAAAACCTCTGGTCCTGGTGACTGACCCAAACTGGATGCTGTAACATTGTCCTTGGACATGTTAATAAGATTTAAAGAAAATATGATATTGGGTATATCAGATGAAAACTTTCTGTAACATAGTTTGGATAATTTCACCATAAATGAAATAAATTTTGATACAATTTTATTTTGATGAAAAACCTCAAAGTATGATTAATGTATAATTGAAATATTATACTAAATTAAAGTTTGAAAGCACATGATACAGTAATTATGATAAATATGGTAAATGAAAGCATTGCAAATACAAGCCATAGGAATTTGCTGTTTTCATCAAAATGTTTTTCCAATGAGCTCTAGTTTTTTGAGACAAGTCTGCCACATCATAACATGCAAAACAAAGAGACAGAGTATATGTTGCTGTCCTGATGACATGAATCTGATCCTACTCTGCAAATACTCATGAAAAATATAACATACTTTTCTTTGATCAAGATACTAACCAAGATTGCCTTTTTTCCAGATACTTCATTTTATCGCATTACCTCTTTCTTAGTCAAAATTATGTGGCCTCTGAGTATGTTTAATTCTTATTGTATTGTCTTATTTTTCTCATAGGTTTTTTTTTCAAAACCTGTTGCATTTTCAAACCCTTCAGATCTGCTGATACTTTACTTATATACTATATAAACATTCATTTACCAATAATGAATTCACTATTGATTTTCAAGGTCATATAAATTAGAATGACCCCCCAAACTGGCTTGCACTTCCTTTTTCCCTTAATTCCTCCTCTACTGACTTTTTTTTTCTTTTGTAGGAGTGAACACAGGTGCAGTTGGAAGCTACATCTATGATAAAGAAACTGAAGCAAAAGATCAACCTTGAGAGCTTATTCTAGCCAACTATCCTCCTGCTTAGCCCATTTTTACTGCATTCTTTTGAGGATAAGGTGGCTGTGTTATTTTGTATGCTCCCCAGACAGGAGATGGTATTCTGTTCCCTCTTCCATTTGTAATGGCTGTCCTTTAAAAAGACAGAGCTGCTTCTCCCTCACTTTTATTTCACTTCAACTATATGTGTTCTGAGGAAATATCTTTGTTGCCATTATTTTACATGATAGAACACAATTTTGTCGTGTCCCCTCCAGCCTTTGCAGTTATTAGTTCATTTTTTAAAGGTCCAACTTACAATTCACTATTAATGGCTGAACAGTTGGAGGAATAAACAAATTCTTCAGGGAGGTTTAAAAAAAATCAGGCATATTTTTGAACATGGCTGTTAAATGTAGAATGATGACTCCTAGATTGAGAGCCAAGATTCTTACCAGCTATGGATTGCTTTCCTACATAAAGTTTCATCACTGTTCAGAGCTAATCCCTTGTTGAAGCAGATGTCAGCAGCAAGCTCTTCCTAGCAGCTGACATAGGGTCCAATATATTTAGCTGAAGCTAAAGTGTTGTTTTTTAAAAATAGTTTGTATTCTTGAGAAATCTGTCAAATTATGACCCTACTAATATCATAACAGAAGAGAATGGATATGGAAGTATGTTATTTATGTAGGTATCTGTCACATACGCATACATGGAAAATATTACTGTTTGCCAACCAATGTGTCCTCTTTGCTACAAAGGCAATTCGGAAATAAAACTCTGTTTGGTTATCAATGACAGACACTTGCAAATACAGAACTTTTATTATACACATTAGAAAACTACAGCATTATTTTTTGATATAATCACCATTCAAATTGAGGCACTTATCATAACATCTTACAAGGATTGAAATTCCTTAGCAGTAGTCTCTCAGTGCCAAATCTGGGCTATATGGGGGGATGATCAAAAGAATCCCAACAGAACTGCTTCAAAAGTTCTTGGGTATGTCTAGCGGTGTGTGGGCATTATCGTGAACCAGCACACTGGAAGTGGTGCCATAGAAAATCCTGCAAAATGTGAAGATGCCAAAGGAGTAATGCTAGTGAAGTTTATGGAGCGTGGTTCAACCATCAATTCAGAAGTCTACTGTGAAACATTACGAAAACTCAGACAAGCCATCCATAACAAGCATCAGGGCATGCTGACTTCCGGTGTGGTGTTGGTTCACGATAATGCTCGTCCAGACACCACTAGATGCACCAAAGAACTTTTGAAGCAGTTTTGTTGGGATGTTTTTGATTATCCCCCCATATTCCAGATTTGGCATCGAGTGACTAATGTGTATAATAAAAGTTTTGTATCTGTGAGTGTCTGCCATTGATAATCAAAAGGAGGTTTATTTCCGAATTGCCCTTATATAAAGACCAAGCAGCAAAAATGGGAGAAGTAGAGAAAGAGACATTGTGTGTTAGGATGGAACCCTAGCTATTTGCAAAGGAACCAGTTCTGATCTTTAATTATTTATATGTTTGAAGTTTATTTATAGACAGATAGTATTGTTCTTTTTTTGCTTTGGAGAATAGTTTATCCTTCTAGTGTTTTAGCGACCCTTGGTCATTAGCTTAAGTTCAGAAGGCACAATCAGAACTAATCAAGGGTGTGAGCTGAGGTAGCACTAACAATTTTTCATTGTAAAACCTGCACTACCCAACCTGCAGATTAGTTTTTCCAACTCAGAATGCTTATCTGCATAACTTTTGCAATTAATAAAGATGTTTGACTACTTATGTGGACTACGTTTGAAACTTTCTTTGTAGGAGAGAAGGGGTAGTTCATCCTAAGCTTAAGAAAATCCTTCATTCTCATAGAGGTCTGGGACAATTAGGCACTGCCCCTTGGTTGCACCCATTTCACTCCTGGGGATCTGCCACAGCTGAAACAAAGCAGCCTTTCCTCCTCTGCTGGTTCTCTCCCAGCGATTCTCCCTCCAGCCTCAGCCCATTGTTCTAGCCCATTCTCTGGATTTGGTGCAGGGGACAAATAATCACACTTCCAAGCAGCCAATCAGGGCAGTGGGTGGCAGGTATTGCGGGGGGGGGCATGTGGATGGTAGGCATCTTGGAGGCTCTGGAGGGAGTGGCAGGGATTGTACATAGCTGGCAGGGACTGCAAGGGCAGGGGGGGGGAGCATGCGGCCAATTCCAGATATTCAAGCCAGGGTTTTACTTAATTTCTCCATGCAGAAAATAGCATATCTGTTGGTTTTTTTGCTGCATAAATGACTGAAAAGTTTTTTTTAAAGTTTTGTTTCATTACATCACCTTTATATATTGCTTGAATGAAGATAAATTATTAACATGTCTACATATGTTAAAAAAGAAACAAACTTTACACAGGTATACTTATTTTTTATGTTTTAAGTGTTTTACAGTTACTTTCATTAGATTTAATACATACAATTTATGTTAATTGATTAAAAATCATTTATGGAGCATTAGGAGAAAAAAACCAAACAAATTTAATGCACTTTAAAACAATCTTCCTTCCAGAAAAGATAGTAAAAGAGTGCATTCTCCTTTAAGTTTAAACAACAATAACATACCATTTATAGGGAGCAATTCTATACAAATTATTACAACCTTGATGAATGCCCAGGTGGTGTTCTCATGACCCGCCAAGCCTGAGAAAGGGGCAGGGGTGGATGTGCGGTGTTCCAGTGATAAGATTGAAGAGTCCTCTGACACTTTTTTGATAAAATAAAAATAGATATAAATGTAATCCAGCAAAATTGGAGGGGATAGGATAATAGGCAAAATTAAAACCCAAATCAATTAGGTTTATCAGGATATTGAGAGTGGAAACGTTGTAGAAATTAGAGGCTCTAACATATCTCTTGTACACCCGCTCATTCTGGGCAGAATGGAGATTCTTCCAAGCTACTAGGTACTGTGTCTCCCCATGGTCCGTTCGAGAGTCTAAAATGTCCTTAATTTCAAAATGTTGTTCTCCCTCAACCATGATAGGCATGGGCACTGGGGGTGCAGGAGGCCTGACATTGGAGGTGATTTCAGGTTTGAGCAAGCTGCAGTGAAAACCAGGGTGGATTTTCCATAGAGTCTTTGGCAGGTCTAATTTCAACTGTCACAGGGTTGTTGATGCGCTTAACTAAATGTAAAGTTTTTACAAATCCAAAGTGACCAGCAGTTTTCAAATTGTGTCCTGCTTGCATCACTTTAATTTCAAGGTTGCTGGGACGTAAAGTTTCTCTCCAACCCATGTTAAACCTTCTTTTAATACACACAGGTTATTATGGTTACAAAACCATTCATCTGTTTCTAAGGCAGTCTTAAATTCCTGTAATAAAGTCTTTACAACAGGACCCACTGGGGGGTTGGCTGTGCTCTGATTGGATGGGGGAGTGTTCTGTCCTGTGGCTTTAAGGTGTTGGACCAGGGAACAAGTTGGTTTCTCTTTTTTGACTGAGTTCTTATGTTCTTCAATGCGTGCACTTATTCTTCTGTTGGTTTGACCGATGTATGTGGTGGGACAAGCAGTGCATGGAATTTCATATACTCCTTGATTTTCTAATTCAATTTTGTCTTTGGGGTTTCTTAAAATTGAATTAGAAAATCAAGGAGTATATGAAATCCCATGCACCGCATACATCGGTCAAACCAACAGAAGAATAAATGCACGCATTGAAGAACATAAGAGGAACCAACTTCTTCCCTGGTCCAACACCTTAAAGCCTAGGACATGAAATTGACTTTAAAAAGACCAGAACTATCGCCAAAACTGAACACTTTAATAACAGAATAATCAGAGAAGCCATCGAGATAGAAAAACGCCCACACAGCATGAACAAACGAGATGATACCTCCCGCCTACCAGCCATTTGGAAACCCGCCCTTATTGAAAAACGAGTCCCCAACACAAAGAAGGACACCAGACCCACATTCATGAAAACCACACAGGATGTCACCACCACACATCCACGCAAAAAGCAAACCCAAACCCACATCGATGATGAGGCACGACCACAAACCAGAAGCCAGACCACAGCTGCATCATTAACCACTTTAAACCCCTCCAATCCATACATGAAGCAAACTGACACTCACCATGAAGATGAGGCTCGACCACGAAGCCAAACTATAGCAATGCAGCTCAGCATCTCACATCCCCCTGCAACTCAGACTAACCTGAGCACAACAAAGCCCCACCCAAACAGAACACTCCCCCATCCAATCAGAGCACAGCCAAGCTCCTAACCAATCAGAACACACCTCCACCCAATCAGAACACAGCCAGGCTCTCACCCAATCAGTTCATACCCCCACTGGCAGTTAAAAGGAAGAAACAGCTACGATCACACATTGCTCCTAGAAGCACGAAGCCGAAAACACCAGCCTGAAGATGATGAATGAGATTTTGTCGAAACATCGCCAAGACACTTCCAATTTGACGCGGGAGAAAACCCAAATAACCAAAGACCTACATATATATATGTATGTATGTATGTATGTGTATGTATGTATGTATGTATGTATGTATGTGTGTATGTGTGTCTTTGGATATATATATATATATATATATATATATATATATATATATATATATATATATATATATATAATAACAATTTATTATAGACAAACAGCAAAAGTAATTGTAAATGGAGATTTTACAGAAAATTTCAATATTAAAAAAGGCACAAGACAAAGATGTCCACTATCTCCATTGCTATTCATACTAACATTGGAGGTATTAAATAGAAACATTAGACAAGGTATGGAAATTAAAGGACTGGAAATAAAAAATACAAATTACAACCATTTGCAGACAATTTAGTTTTTATACTAAAAGAACCTCTTGAGAGAAGCATTAAGCTTATGAAAAAGATAGAAGAATTCAGAGAAGTGGCAGTTCTGAAAATAAACAGAGAAAAACCAAAGTGTTAACTAAAAACCTTACAGAAAAACAAAAAAATCAGTTATCAGAAAAAATAGGTCTTTAAATAGTCAAAAAAGTTAAGTACCTGGGAATCTACCTAACAGCAAGATGTGCAACAATAAAAGAAGATAATTATGTAAAACTATTAAAACAAATAAAACTAGACTTGGAAAAATGGAAAAATCTACAACTTTCAATGCTGGGGAGAATATCAACAGTGAAGATGAATATTCTACCAAAAATACTCTTTTAGTTTCAAACTATACCTATAAAAGTGGGGGGAAAGTTCTTTGATGAACTAAACAAATCAATATTAAAATTTATTTGGCAAGGAAAAAAGCTAGAATAAAATTTAAAATGCTTCTAGAAGCAAAAGAAAATGGAGGATTTGGACTGTCAGACTGGAGTCTATATTACCAAGCAGTCGTTTTAACATGGCTAAAAGAATGTATAACTCTTAGAGATAGAAGATTATTATACCTAGAGGGACATGACCTACAACTTGGATGGCATGACTTTCTATGGTACAGGAAAAATAAAATTCACAGATACTTTCAATATCACTACATAAGAAACGCACTTCTGCTAGAATAGGAAAAAATAAAAGCGAAAATCTATATGAAAATACCTGGATGGTCTTCAACAATGGAAGTGTTTGTTCACCCAAACTTAATAAACTATGACAAAATTGTGACTTATAAAGACATTTTGAATAAAGAAGGAAAATTAAAATATAAGGCAACTAGAAGAACAGGGTATTGATTTATCATGGTTGTCATATCTATAAATTCAAACGAGATATGAAAAAAATGTTAAAGTATCGGGATTCTATAAGGAACAGATAGAATTTGATAAGATATTAGTGACATCAGATGAAAACTTGGTCAAGAAACGTTATAAATATATGCTAAGCTTAAAGATGAAGAGGAATAAGTTAAAGAAACAATGATAACACGGGCAAAGAACTTTGGACATAACATAGAACTAGAAAAATGGCAAAGCCTTTGGGAAAGAAATTTGAAAATAACTAAAGTGGTAGCGTACAAAGAAAATTTATATAAAATGTGTTATAGATGGCATTTTAACACCTGTGTGATTAGCAAAAATGTTTAAAGATGTATCTAATAATTGTTGGAAATGTAAACAAAAAACAGGCACATTACTATCTTTGGTGAACATGCTCTAAAGCACGGGTCGGCAACCTGCAGCTCCGGAGCCGCATATGGCTCTTTCAGCCTTCTCTTGCGGCTCCCAGCCTCCTCTGCCATTTGCAGAGAGACAGAGACTTCCCTTCTCTCTCTCTCTTTCTCTCTCTCTCTCTCTCTCTCTCTCTCTCTCTCTCTCTCTCTCTGTGTGTGTGTGTGTGTGTGTGTGTGTGTGTGTGTAAAAAAGAGAGTGGCCTCACGTGGTTCCGACGAGCTGACAAGCTTACTGAGTGGGGCTCCTCCCTTTGCTGTGTCTCTGCAGGAAGCAGGAAGGGCAGGAGAGAGTCAGCCTAAACAAGAATAAGCTTGTTGGAAAAGAGCCTGAAGACAGCTTGCCAGGTGAGCAGAAGATCAGAGAGAGGGAGAGAGGGGGGGAGAGAGAGAAAGGGAGAGAGAAAAGAGAGAGGGGAGGAGAGGAAAGAGAGGGGGAGAGGGAGAGGAAAGAGTGGGAGAGGAGAGAGAAGGGAGAGAGGAAAGAGAGGGAAAGAGCGAGAAAGGGAGAGAGGAAAGGGAGAGAGGAAAGAGAGAGGGAGAGGAAAAAGAAAGGGGGAGAGGAAAGAGAGAGGGGGAGAAGAAAGAGAAAGGGAGAGAGGGAGAGAAAGAGAGGAAAGAGGGAGAGGAAAAAGAGA